CAACTGGCTCAGCCATGCAACCGTGGACCACAGGGGGAGGTAGCTCCACCCCAATCTGTTATGGAGGATCTGTCAGAGATTTGGCACCCCCCTAGTGGGCCTCTTTGCAGCGAAAACACAGCTCCCATGCTTCTCACAGTTTCCAGCACGGAGAGCGGAGGGGACGCCCTGTGGAGCAGTTGGCCGAGCAGAGTACGTTACTCATTTCCACCCCTTCCTCTGATTCCGGGGACCCTGAGGAAAGTAGAGGCAGGGAGGTCAGTCATTATTCTTCTGGCCCCGCACTGGCCCAGACGGCCATGGTTCACGGATCTGGTCCAGATTTCAATCTCACCCCCATGGAAGATTCCTCAGGTGGAGATCTCTTTGTGCCAGGGGGTCCTGGTCCATCCAGAACCCCACTGGCTCCACTTGACCACCTGGAACTTGAGCAGAGCTTCCTGAGGAATGCCAACCTCTCTTTGAGAGTCATTGCGATGATTGAGGCCTCGAGGCATCCGTCAACTACTAGAATCTATGATTCTACCTGGGCAGCATTCGTAAAATGAGTGCCTCCTCGAATGTCTCGGTGGCTTCTGCATCCCCTCCTCAGGTCCTGAATTTCTTACAGGATGGGTTAGACAAAGAGTTGTCTCATAGCACTCTCCGCCGCCAGGTGGTGGCACTGTCTACAGTGCTCGCTGGAGAGGGTCTTGTTCCTCTCTCAAAACTCCCAACTGTCAAATGGTTCCTTCGGGGGGCAGTGAATATTTGGCCTCCCATGATTCACAGGTTTCCCACTTGGGATCTGCCATTGGTTCTTCGGGCTCTGACACGGTCGCCCTTCGAGCCCTTGAGAATAGTCCATCCTCGGCTCCTGACCTTGAAGGTTGCGTTCCTGGTAGCAATAACATCGGCCAGACGCATCTCAGAGCTGGGGGCGCTGTCATCCAGACGGGAACTATGTGTTTTTCATCAGGACAGGGTGGTCCTCAGGTTGGACCCATCCTTCATTCCTGAGGTGAACACCCCCTTTCATAGGGTGGTTGTCCTGAACTTTTGTCCTGCCCTTTCACATGATAGGGAGCACCTTTGGCATAGGTTGGATGTCTGGCAGGCCCTTTGGATGTAACTCTGGCGCAAGGCCTCGACCCGCAGGTCTGAGGTGTTGTGTCTTTCCTATCTGCTACCTTGAGAGCTAGAGTTACCCCTTCAGCCATCGGGAGGTGGATTAGACAGGCCATTGCCATGGCCTACGAAGTCTCGGGTCAGGCCCCTCCTCTAGGGAATACTGCCCACTCCACTTGGAGTGCAGTGACCATGGCGGTGTGGTTGACCAGGGCTCTGTTTGAGGACATTTGCAGGGCGGCCATGTGGTCTACCCCGTCGCCATTTATTTTTCATTACCAGCTGGATGCCTTCGCATCGGCTGAGGCGTCTTGTGGTCGCAGGGTTCTCCAACAGGTAGTAGCCACCCCAGCTTCTACATCCTAGATTTCCCTCCCTCAGGATGATAGCTTGGGTACTTCCCATGTGTAGCCCCTCCCACATCACACACTTGAAAAAGAACATTGGTCCTTACCTGAATGTTAATTTTCTGTGTGGATATGGGAGGGGCTACATCCCTCCCTAGCAAGACGTAGTTAGTTAGGTGAAGGGCTGGGGATGGCCTGGTTGTCTTGTTGTGTCTTTCAGGTGGAGCCAAGGGAAGGAGGAGGCATGGTGAAAAAATTCCCTCAGTCTCTTGACCAATCAGACTGTGTTGATATCCCATGCATAGCCCCTCCCACATCCACACAGAAAGTTAACATTCAGGTAAGGACCAACGTTCTTTTACTGTAAATTTCCAGGCGTCTAGGAGTCACTCTTCATTTTGTCAATAGATGGTGGTCTCAACTTACTTTTCAGCATAGATCTCTTTATCAAAAAAATAGTTTTTTCACTGCTTAAACGGTTATATTTTTTGAATCTGTTTTCTAGGAATTTTTTTTCCTTTTCCTTAGAGTAATTTTTAAGAAAAGAAAAATTATTTCACCCAGAAACAATCTCTGTTCACTGTTCTGTTGGCTCCTGCACTTTCTTAGGTGTTCTGGCTGTCCCCAGCGTCATGGCAGCCATGTTGACTACTGCTGCTCCATGTTTTTGGCAAAGGGGGATTTTCCAAACCAGGAAGGAGAGATGCAGCTTTCCTCCAACTGCAAGGTGCACCTCCTTGCTTCACCACCCCTACAGGTGCCTTCAGCCACCTTCCATTGCAGCCCGGACCGGCTGCCCTCCACCCAGCCATAAAAAGCTTCCTGGCTCAGAGGGTGCTCCCGAGTCAAAGCTGGGAGACGGAGCAAGACATGGACTCTCCCCGCCTGCTCATTTGTGCCCAATCCCCAAAGTCCCAGTCACGAGTCCTGGCAGTGGCTGCTTTTGCTCCCTCATGACTCACCTGAAAGCCCAGGGCAAAGCCAGAAGTCACAGGTTCTAAGGGCCTGATGAAGGGTGGGCATTAGAGGAGACTCCCTCCTTTTCTCTCCAACCCTGGACAAGCCAGATTTGCCCTTTCTATTATTGACGGCACAAGAGGAACACCGGTCCCCACGCCTGCCCTTAATGAACCCAGTTCCCCTCCAGGCTGAAGGCGCCCTTCCCCTCCATTGAGCAGAAATGTTCAGAAGGAGCCCCTACTGTCCTCTCCACCACTTCACGGGCAGAGGGAGAAAATTCCGTGCTAGAATCTGTGAAACCTCGGAGGAGGTGAGCGTGGAAAAGGCTCGAGATGCTTTGGCAACCTTTCTATCCAGCAGACTCCTTGCATTCACCATTTTCAGCAGTTGGAAATATCTTTTCCTAGCAAAATAAAATAAACTAAAAAAGCTTGAAAATTTCCGAGATTGCTCCTGGAGTGGGCAGGCAGATGGGCAGCATTCCCGCCACCCCATTAATTGTAAAGGCAATTAACAACTCGCCCTCATGAGAAGATTTTCTTCACTGTGCAAACGCCAGGAGCTGCTCCAAGGCTGCAGGCACCCAGGGAGGGGGGAAATGCTGCCCATCTTCCCCCTCCTAAAGCAACCTCAGAGGTTTTCAAGCTCATCTGGAGAGGCAGTTTTTTTTTAAAGAAAACCCTGAAAAAGACGCAAGATCTGGAGCTGCCAGAGACACGCGGGCCTAGGTGGAAAGCAGCCTTTCCTGCAGCACCCCCCTCCCCACTTTGGATCGCCCTGCAGTGGGGCCTCTGCCTTTGTAGAATGGGGCGGGTGCATGTGCAGCAGCCCAGGGATGCCTGTTTGCCCTCCCAGAGCCCCATCACCCCTCTCAGCCCCAGCTCACCATCTGCATTTCTACCAAGGGCTGCTGAGCCAGGCTGGACACTGATCTTGGAAAGCAAATGGGCATGGGGGACTGCTGGGAAGGCAGTGTGGAAGGCAGGGAAGGATGGCAAGGCTGAGGGGAAGGGAGCCTCCATGCTTCCCTGCCTTTCACACAGCCTTCCGCTTGCCTGCCTTCACAAGCTAGCCACGGGGACGCCACGAAGCCTGCATGGAAGGCAGGGAAGTATGGCAGGGCTGCGGGCCGTGGGGAAGTGGGCAGGAGCAGCTAGATAAGCCACAACTCACAGGCTTACCTGGAAGGCAGATCAGGGGTGCAGCACTTCAGGCAGGCAAGAAATGCTTGGGGGAAGTGAGGGCCTGGGTGATGGTAGGTGGGGCAGGATCCATAGCGTGGCGCTGAAATAGAGAAAAGGGTAAAAGAGCAGCCACCTTGAGGGAAAAAACCCACTTATTTTGCTTGCCTGCTGCTTGTCTTTCCCTTGTGCCGGCAGCTGCCTTCCTCATTTCCCTTTGGATTGCAATGACCAGGCAGGATCCTCTTTGATAGTGCGAAGGAGAGCGGAAAACAGAGCAGCCAGCACGAGGGCAGGAAGCTGCCTTTTCTCCTTGCCTGCTGCTTGTCTTTCCCTTGTGCCGGCAGCTCCCTTCCTCATTTTTGGTGTGTGCATTGGGCTGTTTTTTGCTCTTTGGAAGCCTCTGGAGGGCAAAAAATGGCTGAAAATCAGCTGGCCAGCACATGCATGTGTGCTGGAGCTGACAGGGCAATGCCTCATATGCCCTCAGAAATGGCTCCGTGTGCTACCTGTGGCACGCGTACCATAGGTTCCCCATCATAGCTCTAGACTGACTGTGACAAAACCAATAACTAAACCTACTGAGATGTGCTACATGAAATTATCATATCTTCATTAACTCAATAGCCAGGGCATAATGACTCTTTTTATTTCAATTATTGTGTAGTTGTTCAGAGAAATTCAGTCTCTTATCAAGTCACCAGGTGTTGTTTAATAGCAAGATTTGATAGAAGTTCAATTGGAACAGTTTGACGTGATTAAACTTGCTTTAATGTGTAATAGTAACAATAACGGATAATTCTCTTGTTTATTTGTTTTTTCCTATGCTTCCTATGGCCTCTACGCAGAGGTCATAGTACTAGTCTCAGTCTTTGACATGATTTATCTAAACTAACAAAATTTCCCTTGGGTTTGCTTTGTTTAACTTATCTTTTAATCCATTTTGTTTTATTTACTTTAGCTTTTATTTTATTTCTTTGGTGTTTTTTTATTATATAAAGCTAGTTAATAACTGAAATAAAACTGACTGACTACAGTTTGTCTCTTAGGCCAATAATGTAGATTACAAAATATTGTTCTAGTCTTTGTTATTTCTTTTAATATTAATTGATGTTTCTTCTCACTATTATATTATATAGAGTTTTTGTTATTGCATTGAAGACATTTTTATTGCGAGCACTGTGTATTCATATATTTATTTAATACAAAAACAGGGAGCTGGTGGCACTCCCAGATATTTCTGACATACAATATCCAACAACCTCAGATGGGAATAGCCAGTAGCTGTAGTTTAGCAAAAACATGGATACCCCAAAATTCCCTATGCCTGATTTAGCCATTTGTTTTCAGAAGATTTAGATTATGTCATTAGGAATAACTTTTTAATTATATCTGCACATTCTAGAATTTTAAGGGGGATATCGATGACAATCTGATGAGCCATTCCAGTTATCCTGCTCTACTGACTTTGAAGAGCGAAGGCAACCAGCAAGCGATGCTTCAGTCTCAGAAATCGATGGTTCAGCACGTTTTAGAACAGAAAAAGAAACTGGAAGAAGAGCTACAAGAGTTTAAAGAACAGATTGAGGAAGCTGGGTTCTCTTCCATTTCTCAGCTAAAGTAAGTCAGTCTGACCCCAGAAAATATTTGGGCATCCAGCAGTCTAAGTTCTTATCAGGGGGCTCAGTATAGAAGTATAAAAACTATTAGGCTTGCCCCAGCTTGGGAAAGAAAGACCCTCGACTCCATTTAGTTGTAATGATAGGTTCTTTAAGTTAAGGGGTTAAGGGGTTGCATCAAAAGAAAGTGTAGATATGAATATTCCTATGCAAAAGTTACACTTTCCCCCTTTCCTCGGCCCTCCCTCTTGACCAGTTCATCAATGTCCAATAGCATGCCATTCAGATGTTTTGAGAATGGCTTGGCTGTTTGGTGCAACTCAATGCAGTTTCACATTCCGTTCTGAGGCCAGGTGTCCTTGAAGAAGACTGGTGTATTCTGGGTTTGGCACCTCTGGATTCCATTAAGGCTGTCACCTTCCCTCTTCCCCCTTTTATCTTTACGTTCCCATCACTACTACTCGACATTCCCTTGCCCCTCCCTTGCATTTTATGACAGGATGCCAGCAAAGCATAGAAGCTGCAGATGACACCTGACATTCTGCCTCCCTTTTCAGAGACGTTAATCCTGTGTGGAGAAAAAAACTGGGAAGGGAGAGAAAAGAGAGAGAGAGAGAGAGTAGGCTTAGTTTGTTGGCATTCAATGAGGTTTATATGGGTATCTATCATGGAACTTTCGAAGAAGGTTTGAGGCACTTATGTGCTGAGTGTCTACCCTTCTGTCTCCAAAGAGGGAAGTCTTTCCAAGCTACTAGATACTGGATTTTTTCCTCTGTGTGTGCAAAAATCTAAAATGTCTTTGACTTCCAAGTGTTGCTCTTCTTCAATCATGGTAGGATCAGGAGGTGGTTTCATGATAGGGCATAAAGGAGAGGGGGTTGATTGTTTTAGTGACCTGCAATGGAATACTGGATGAATGCATCTAAGCATTTTAGGCAGTTCAAGTTGCACTGTTACTGGATTAATAATTTTGCTGACGCTGAAAGAACCAGTATACTTTGGACCTAACATCTTTGAAGATTGTCTGAATTGTAGGTACTTAGCAGACAGGTAAACTTGTTACCATCTTTGAATTCTTTTGGCTGGTTGAGAGTGTTTCTTGTTGGCTTGTATTTTATATGACTCTTGTGCTTCTTCAAGTGCTTTCTGAACTACTGACCAGTGTTTTGCAATTGCAAAGGCCATTCCACAAGAGTTGTGCTTTGGGGTGTAACTTGGGGACATTCAGGGATTCAGGAAAGTCCTGCCCAGAAGCCACTTTAAAAGAGATAAATCCCATGCTGTCGTGTACAGTGTTATTATATGCAGCCTCAGCAAAAGGAAGAAGGTATGTCCAATTATCTTCTTGATATTTTTTTTGGATTAAAGTTTTTTATTTTTTGTTACAAATTTTAAAACTTCTTTACAAACAAAGTGTTGTAAAGTGGGTCCTAAAGTCAAGGATTTCCTTAATCTCAAAGTGTTGTTCGCCTTCTATCATGATAGGGAGAGGTGGTGTAGGTGCAGGTGGTCTGAGTTGTGAGATGAGTAAACTAATGTGAAATACTGGGTGGACTTGCCTGAGTGTCTTTGGAAGGAGTAATTCTACTGTTACTGGGTTGATAACTCTAGTGATAGGGAAAGGTCCAATGAAATTTGGCCCTAATTTCTTTGATGGCTGCAATGACTTCAGGAATTTTGTAGATAAGTATACTCTATCTCCAACATGGAAAGGTTTGGGTTCCACTCTTTTCTTGTCAGCTTGAATTTTAAAAGCCTCTCTAGCTTCCTGTAAAGCTAATCTAACTACTGATCATGTGTTTTGTAGAGTGTCTATCCACTCCTTAAGTGAGGGGATAGTGGGGTCTTCTGTGGGTAGTTCAGGCATGGGGTTGAAATCCTGGCCTGTTGCTACTTTAAAAGGGGTGAAACCAGCGCTTGAGTGGACAGCATTATTGAAGGCCACTTCCGCAAAAGGTAAAAGATCAGTTCAGTTATCCTATTGAAAATTAATAAAATATCTTAGATATTGTTCTAGAACTGAGTTCAATTTTTCAGTTTGCCCGTTAGTTTCCACGTGGTGACTGGAGCTCAATCTTTGGGTGGTGCCAAGTAAAGTCAAAAATGCCCTCCAAAATTTTGAGGTGAGTTGGACCCCTCTGTCGGAGATGATTTTCTGTGGGGCTCCATGAAGGCGATAAATGTGTATCAGGAATAATTTGGTTAGACTTTTGGCAGTTGGGATTGTTTGGCAAGGTACAAAATGTGCCTGTTTTGAAAATAGGTCTGTTACAACCCAAATGACAGTATTCCCCACACTTTCTGGTAGTTCGACAATAAAGTCCATAGCAATGTCCTTCCAGGGTGCTGAAGGTTCAGTTGTTCAGTTACCTTCTGTAACAGTCCTGGGATTTTCCCTTGGCGTCGTTTAGCTGCCGCACAAATAGGGCAGCTAGCTACATAGCTCTCTATGTCCTTTTTTATTGATGGCCACCAAAATTGCCTTTTAATTAGGTGTAAAGTTTTCACAAAACCAAAGTGTCCTGCTAGTTTGGAGTCGTGGCACCTTTCCATTAAGTGCAGTCTTTGGCTAGCTGGAACATACAATTTCCCTCCCACCCAAGCTAAGTTATCTTTCATCAGGCAGCTGGATTTGTGGCTCAAAAACCATTCATCAGTGGCTAAAGCTTTTTTAAAAGTTTGGGTGGTGTCATTGTCTGTCAGAGTGTCTTGTTTTGCCTGGGATCTGGTGGTTACTTTAGCGGCTAGTTGATTGTCTTGTATCATGGGTTTTTATTACGTCTGGCTTCATACTATTGTATTGTGGTTTTCTGGATAGTGCATCTGCCAGAAAATCCCTCCCCCCCTCCCCGGAGATATCTGAGCATAAATTCAAACTGTTTAAAGTACTGAGCCCATCGTACTTGTTTTGGGGAGTTTCCTTGGGGTCTTTAGGGCTTCTAAATTTTTATGATCCGTCCAGACTTCAAAGGGGATCTCACTCCCCTCTAGGAAATGCCTCCAGGTTAAAAGAGTCCACCGAACTGCATAAGCCTCTTTCTCCCAAATGGCTCACCTTTGCTCGGATTCATTCAATTTTTGGGATGTGTAAGCGCATGGTTGTAATTGGTCTTGCTCATTTTTCTGAAGCAGGACCGTTCCTATTTGCCACATTGCTAGCATCTGCTTGTATGGTTTCTCTGTGTCCAGATGCTTTAGAATTGGCTCTACTGAAAACAGCCGTTTAAGTTTTTCAAATGTAGCTTGGCATTCCATTGTCCAGTTCAAAGGCTGCTTCAGTTTCGGGTTGCTCTCCGCTTTCATTTTTAAAAGCTTGGTGATGGGGAGAGCAATCTGGGCGAAAGTGGGGATAAACTGGTGGTAAAAGTTGGCGAATCCCAGGAAGCTTTGTAACTGTTTGCATGTTCTGGGTGGTTCTCAGTCAAGTACCAATTGCACTTTCGAAGGATCCATTTCTATGCCCTGGTGTGAAATGCGGTATCCTAAGTA